GACGTTCGTTTTCTCTAGGAGTCAAGTTGAGTCAAGTAGGGTCGCTGAATCCTGGCTTCCAGGACTCTCAGGGCGGCTACCTTGACTTGCAGAGGGCCTTGTCCAAGGGAAGCTTTGGGAGCTGCGCAGACTGCAAGCACTGCCCCAAGTACTCCTGAGATGCGCGACTTGCGCGCACCTTGACCCCTCAGAGCACATCAGCCTACGAGCAAAAATGAGGGTCCTTGCAATCTGTTTCCAGTGATGTCAACCTGCGTAGAGCTTTGCCCATCGGACTCAGCCCATTCACCAGCTGACTTGTACACTCTCACAGATTTCCTTTGCAAGTTTTGCAGGCAGTCCCCCAGACAGGCTTGATTCCACAGATCTAGTGGCAAACAGAAATTCAGCCTTCACCTGACAGCATGCGAGGCTTCCGTCAGCTAGCTCACACCGCTCATCAGGCCCACGCCGCGATCTCAGAAGATTGAGTATCATTGATGAAAGTCCTTGCCTTTGCGGAGATGGTGTGCGATACCGGCCAATCTAATCCAGTGGCCTTGTTCTCATGCAGGATGCCATGCACGATGCTGAAACGGGAATGCTGCTCAACGCTGTCTTGGGATTTGTAGAAGATGTTGCCGGAAAGCCAGCACTGAATTGGGAAGCCTTGTGATGTGTTTTATCTTTACTTGATGCAGGGCCTGTGAAAGAGTGGTTTGGCTCAAGCTCCAAAAGAAATGGCCGTGCGTAGCCGTGCCCTGAAGTGCAGTCCCTCTCTGCCTCCCCTGCGCCGCCAATTCCAGGGACCCAGCAGAAGCATAAGCTTCGTTCAAGGAGACGTGGTCCATTGGGCTGGGGACGTTCTGGCCACCTCCACCTCGAAGAATTTGGAAGGTGTGAAACGCGCACATTGGTGGGGATTTGCCGGGAGGTACAGTGCGGATGCCGCATTGCACCTGCATGTGGGAGGGAGTCTTCAGCAAGAGTGCCGAAAACATATGTCTGAGCTGAATTTTGGTGACGTGCTTCGCACAAACCCTGGACCTCAGTTGAAAGTCAAGCATCTCCTCCACACAGCAATTCCAAGTTACCCAGCTTCGCTTGATCCTGCATCGATGCCGCTGCATCTGGCATCGACCTTAGCCCACATCATGAGCGTTGACAAGGCCACCTCGCTACTACGCAACAGCTTCAAGCAGCTCCTGGAAACAGCTGCCAATCTCCATGCCCAGTCGCTTTGCTGCCCCTGCCTGGGCTGTGGCATCCGCGGATGGCCAGCACACACAGTGGCCCAGATAGGCCTAGAGGCTTTGGCTGAGTTTCAAAGTGAGGCTGTGCCCCATGTTGAGTTTCGATGCATCGACCGTCATGTACTCGGAGCTTGGATTGATCAAGCGGTCGCATTAGGCTTCAAGGAGAATTCAGAGCCAGAGACCTTTTGTAGCCACCTTGCCTAGGCCATACTCTTTGAATTCTTTTAGAGATATTTCGAGAATTTGCTGAATAATTCAGAGTGCTCGTCATGCCACGCATCGCATCTTGTTGGTCATATGTGTGAGTGTTTTGCACTTGTGCATGGATTGTGCACTCTAGCCATTGTCGCACAGCTTAGTTCATTTAAGCGGTCTCAGCCGCAGCTGCGAGTTGCAGAAACCCGAGCTGTACAGAAAGCGAATTGTAACTCCTCCTGAATCATGCGGCATGGAAGCATAAGGAGGCAACTAAGTTGTATGGATTTGTATTGTACAGATGACCAGAAAGGGGCAGACTTAGAAGCCAAAAAATCAGCTGCAGGGGGCCCAGGTCTTGTTGAACATGTACCCGCCTGTGAGGTTCTGACGGTGTCTGATGTGGCCTGGAGCTCTGAGTGTTCGCCAGGGGTCTGCTATCTTGTGCTTCTGGGCTGGTTGAGTTGAGCCTCGAAACCCACGACCGACCTAAGTCGCTGTCCCCCGTTCTTCTGACGTTTCATCTCCTAAAGCTGGAACTCTGAGTGATGAAGGTGCAGGTAATCAGTTGCCATCAGTTCTGGAAGCATCTTGCTAGTTCCGAGGGCTCCCGGCTCCAAACAGGTTGCCAAATAACAGGAGCAGGGGGATTACTGCATAGATCCCCCTAAGAATCCTAAACCCCAAATAATGATTTCCATGTTATTCTCCATTATCCCACTGTAGCCCCATTCTACCCCTTAGGCTGGATCAATCAGAAATACCTTAGGGGTGGGTATAGGGAATATAAGTACGTATTAGGGGTTATATTGGAGTTATATTTGGATAATGGAAATATAATTTGGAAACCACTATTTAGGGTTTAGGATTCTGAGGAGGATCCATGCAGTAATCCCAGCGGCAGAAATGGGGAGCTCGTGATCGCTAAGCCCGAGGTAATTGGTAGCTTCCCCGATAATAGGGAGAGCACAACATAGGCCCCAAAATACTATAATCCTTACTTATGATAGAGACCTCAGAACGGAACCCCTAGCTTTTGAGAAACCTCCAATTCTCTTTGAGTTCGCAAGCCACGCCCTGTATCTGGCTAGTGAGCTAGTGGATGCAGGACATGTTTAAGCCCCACACCAACAGCAAGAATTGCCCTACAAAAGAGACCCTCAAGACCAAATTCACCCCCCCCAACATTTCAGAGCTCCCCAACATGGAAGGTCTTTGGTGGGGAATGCCGAAACACTTAATATCGGGGATTGGGTGTGCCTAGTCATTGTTAGTAGCTAGTATTATAGTATTACTATGAAGAGGTCACTTTCTCCAACCCTCCAAGTACTGGTTGTTACTCAGCTGCAATTACATAGTTCTCCAGATTCGCATCCCCAATGTAATGCCCAAAGTACGTGTAGTCCTTCCCCTTAATACACAGACTTAGGTCAGAGATCTGCCCTGAACCTCGCTGTAAACCCTCAACCAGACTTGAGAGCCAAAGCTTCGTTGAGCAAGACCCTTGAGCAGCAAACGCCTCGCAAATCGCAGAGCTTGCCGAATCAAACAGCCCCCATTGTTTCTAGCAGTTTTGCTGAATTACTCTGCTCAGCATAGCTCTGTTCTCGGCCCAAAGTCACCCGCAAGTCCGTGCTAGCTTCCAGGCACCACCCTAATGGCTTTGTGAAATGGTTGCACAAATTTTAGACATTAAACCATTTGCACTTCAGCTCCCGGCACCACAGGGAGACTAAACCTAATACGTTGGCAGCCTCCAGATCTCCGAAGCCAGCCCAGGCAAGACAGCCCTGGCAACGACGGAGATGCTGCATTCTCGGACAAGGTAGCTGAGATCTTCTAGAGATGTGAAGAAATGGGTTCGGCATATGATGTATGTGTGTCTGGAAAGTGTGGGTCTCTAGTAATTAACCCTTATGCGAAGTGCTGCAGTGGGTGTACATAAGTAGCTAAAAGCACATTATGCCCAACGGCCATACTCAAAACAATAATGAACCCTGCTACTGTAAGCCCGTCCGAAGCCGTACGGCAATGGACATCCTCCAGTTACATGGGAGGGACAGGAAAAAAAGTTGTGGTACTGCCTGATACGTTTTTGTGTGAGAGAAGGGCTTCACAGCTGAGAGGGCAAGACGCTTCAGTGCTGGCTGTGGGTTTGTGACCTTAAACTGGTAGCCAGCTTCCATGTTAGATGCAAAATCAAGCAAATCCTGAAAGTTGACCGTGTTCCATGTCAGTCTCCTGCTTTGTTGGCCTAGGACGTTGTGGGGCTGGGCAACAGGAATTGCGCAGAGCAAGCCAATTCAGTATCGTCCCTTTCAGCATCACAAATGGGGCTTGTGCAAATGTCACCTTTTTGCAAATGGCTGATTGATAATTCATATTTTATATAAAGGTATGGGCACGATCTATTTATTCTATAACATGATAGGGCGATTCTGGAATGGATTTTACGCGAGAATTAGACGAACTATTAAAAATTTGGATTCTAAGAAATTTATTTGGTCGAATATTTTTCATTATATTCCGGAAATTGCTTGATCATATGAATATAAATACAATGACTAGGTCTGGGAATTAATTTTGGGGGAATATAAAATTCATATTTATATAATATATGCCGAATTAAAAATTATGATCTAGGCCCGGAATAATTTAGAAAGATGAAATAGATCTAGGCATATCGCATAAATAGATCGTATCTTCTCGAATTATATTATTATTTCTCATCTCGATGAAATAATAAAAAATTCAAGAAGACGATTTTGATGAATATTTAAGATACGTGTGTAGATAAAATTTTAAATCGTTCTGATAATTGGATATTAGATTGGATTGACGCAAAAATTATCAGAATATGATACGGCTGTATTATCTTTGCTTAGAAGGATTTGGAAAAAGAGGAGGAATTGTGATCTAATCTCTAAAAAAGATAAATAGAATCGATTATTTAATTTCTTCGTAATTCTGAGGGAGCATGATCGTAGACATGATGATTCTGAATTTGAGGAGACGATACTTTAAGCGAATAGATGATTGGATATAGAAGAATTCATTTTCTCATTATTTCTTCATCTCATTTGAGGGCCCGCTGCTGCGTTATTATTTTTCCTTTTTTTGGCATTTTCTTTTTCGTCTCATTCGTGGCGAAAGGTAGGGGATTTCACGATTGGAAAACGGGCGCCGAATCTTGAAATCTTTCTTTTTCTTTCAATCCCTCAAACGAAAATGAAGATTTCTAATTAGATTTCTTGGAAATCTTGAATAACGAGATTTCTTCCTTTTCACTTGAAGAATCGATATGGATTTCACGTTATAGATTTTGTATTCTTCCTATCCAGAAAAATATTCATGAATCGGCGATTTTGATATAGAATATTATGAGATAATCGTCCGTATATCAGGATTGAATATAGGGATCGTCTTCATAAAATTTATTTATTTATCTATATTGATTCCAATCCAGAATCCGGATGCCTATTCTATCAATGATATCCTCGTATATCACTACCAGATTTCGATACTACGGCTTCTCAAATCGATTCATATGAATGAGATGCCAATAATCTTTGAAGAAAATATATTTCATAATCCAATCAAATATACGCTAGATTTTAATGAATCATATCTAGGAACGTATTATCATTTTGATTATGATTGGAAGATATTGATTATCCAATCAATTTCTTCCGGTCATTAGAATACGATAGATATCATGAATATTATATTTTCTGGCTCAATGATTTTTCGATTCGAATCAATGATCTATATTCATTCAATATTCTTTTCCTTCTGATTTTCTCTTATTATTATTATCTGATTATAATCGCATTTCAATTTGAAAAAATAGATTCGTTTTGCGAAGGATATAGGAATTTGAGAGACGACAAATAATCTCCAATGATCTTTGGATCAGGGATCTATTATTGTCGACGATATTGGAAGATCATATCAGAAAATAAGGAGATCCGAGAATTCTCAATTCTAGGAATTTTCAATTTAAAGATTTAAGATTAAATATTTAGATTTACAGATTTAATTCTTCTAATATATAGCACGTCTTTGCAATAATCTAGATTATCATATTTCGATCCCATATAGCAATAGATATTAATCATTTTGAGAATGAATGATAGAATGAATGATTAGATATTATTGATATCTCATGATTTATAATTCAGATATGAATATTTCTATCTTTTTCTATCAATATGATCTCTCAATCTTGATAATTCATATTTCTTAGAATATCAATGCGATATTATATCGAAGAAATTAATCTATATCTTATTATGATAAATGATAGTCGATCGATATTCCTGAAGATATCAGGCAATCCCAAAAAAATAAGGATTTCGATTCTCATTATTCAGAGCTAAAAAAAAAAGATAATGCACCTCCCGTTAACATCGACGATGACGAATTCCGCATATTCTATTTCCGATAATTAGTATATTCTAAATCCGAATAAGAAAAGATAATATAATCGCTCAGATTATTTGCCAATATTATTGAATATTTTCGAGCAAGAAATCAGACTGGGAAATCCAAGATCTCATCTTAGATCGAATCCGGTTGCATATCTGATCTGCGATCTCAGAAATATCATCTATATGAATATATGAAATATATTCTGCGCATATCATCAAAATACGTCCGATATTAATCATCATGAAATGAAATTCCATTAGATTTATATTGCGTCTCTCCATCTCGGATTGACGCGGATCCCAGATTCGTCGGAGAAGATATTCTATCTAGATCAGATTATTCCCGTGATGATATCAGCAAGCAATCGTTCGTCGTCTTCTCCAAATTTCTTCTGAATCTGAGAGATCTAGATATGATAATCTCACGAATTAGGTTGCGGACGATATTATCTTCATGATATTTATTATCATCTATACGATTTGATGATTCTTTTTTTCTATATAGAGAATAGATATATTTTCTTTTATAGAGGAGAGATCTTTAGAAAATCTTGATCTGAATATTTTTATTCTATATAG